TAGGAAAGACATCATTAAACTTGAAAAGGCTCGCTTCTATATAGGTTGACCATACAAGTAAATGAAATTAACCAGTAATTGAGTTAATTAAATAATTAAAGACTAAGCACATGATTATGCACATTATTCCAACTCTTCACTTCGAAGTTTCATTTATTAATTGAATAACTAATTCTTAATTTGATTTTTCAACTGATATATATTAATATCTCCAGATTTATCAGTTTTTTTTTATAAGTTCTACAATTATCTATTTCAAGTCAACTGGTTTATCATGTTACTCTAAATTATTTTCAAGTTCTAACATGTTTTTATCACTTACCAAAATCAAGAAAAGTTTTAAAACTTGTTTACTCTCTTTAAAAATTTAATAAGTTTTTAATTTTATTTTTATTAAATGTACATATTTTAATAATTTTTTATCTCACCAACATTTAATGAGATGTAAATGGAAAAAAAAAATTGTGATAAAAAAGTTAAATGGGATATGCCTTATAAATAAGGGTAAAAAAAAAAATTGATCCCATTCTACCTTATTAAAGATAACATCGTAGGAGTAAATAATTAGTATCTCCCAAGAGTTCTATGTACTAGGACGAGTTTTTCTAAGTAATCATCATTAATATAAAATTATGCGGCTGCCCGGAAAAAATATCTGTCCAAAAAAATAATATAAAATTAAGCCACCGGTTTTTGAACGGCGTAGGAGATTAAAAAAAAAATTAACTAATTTAATATGTAAATGGTATGCCAGTCAAAAATTTCCTTTCTTAGAAAAATGTTACACAAAGTCTTATTCATACTCCTTCCGTTCCTAATTATCTCACACTTTTCAAGAAAAAAATGTGTAACAGTTAATTAAAGTATTGAGGCTAATTACTCCATCCATTTCAAATTATAATACGAAAGATTTAACATTTTAAAATATAAAATATTTTAATAAAAATAATATTTTATTAATGATACTTTTTTAATATTATCCTTCATATATATCTCTCTCTTCAATATTTTTTTATCAGTATTAAATGAAGGACATTTTTAAAAGTTTATATTTTTATCTTGAAAAAGTAAGGTTGTAAAATGTATTTAATAAGCTTTATTAATATGTAAAATTTTGTCTAAAAGTATCTTATAATTTGAGATGGACGGAATGCTATATTGTTATTCTTTTTGATCCACCATTTTTAAATTTTATTTATAAATTTCTTTCAACATTAGAAATGAGAATAATTTTTAAATTTAACTCTTTCTAAAAATTTAATAAATTTTTAAATTTTTATTATATATATATATACACTAATAATGTAATTTCTCTCTTCAGTATTTAATAATATTGATAAAAATCAAATCCCATGTCTTATAAATAATCTTAAACAATTTTTTTCTTGTTAGATAAACTTTCTACTGTCAATTCTTAGGTGGTTTTGCTATATTCTTTTTTTAATCTATTTAAGATTTTTTTTAGCATCCCAACTATTTTATTTGAGGGTATACTGAATCTGGGTTAATTTAAATCAAGTTAGATTATAACATATGGGTATAAAACTCGAACTTAAAGGAAAATAAATATCAAATCAAACTAATTGGGTCAACATGGAATTGTAATTTTTCTTTTTTGGCCAAACCAACATGGATTAGTATCTCACACGCACCATTTTATGAAATTCGATCGTTATGTTCTTTATTGTCAGCTGGATTCCAATAGAAACCTGACGTAATAAAACGAACAAAAAAAAAAACAAAGAAAAAGGAAACTAACTATTTGGGTAGACGCACTCAACGCTGGCTATTGGTCAAAATTGCATCAACATATTCAACATTTCCTTTGCCTGCCCCTTAATTAATGCCTCTAATATTTTGTTGCTCTATAATGCCCTTAATGCTAACTTAACCAGCAAGCTTATTAAGAAATTAGAGTTACTCTCCTTCTTATTATATAATATTTTTAACTATTTTATTGAAATAAAAAAATAACAGTTAACTCATTAAATATATTTTAATATGAAAAATTTTAAATTTATCCCTATTAAAATAAAACAAGACAAATACAAAATATATGATGGGTCATAAAAATAAATTTACAATATGGGTAAAACTGAAAAATGATAATAAATAACCTTTAATGTACCTTATATTAAAGATTGAAAAATCTTTTTAAAAAGTGCCGCATAATAAAGATAGGAAAAAATATATATTAAAAATTTTTAAAAAATAGATAACATTTTAATTTTGTCATTCTTTATAAAATAACCATAATAAATTATTTTGTTGGTAATTCAAATCATAATAAATAAATAGGGATAAATTTAAAAAATAAAATTAATTACTCTAACTTTTCCTTTAAAGTTTGCTTCTTCGATTACTCTGTCTACTATATATTTTCACATTATATGTTTGAATTTATAAACATAACAAAACACTTATATTTAATTAAATGATCGAGTATTTAAATAGAAGCTTCGGACCTTCATTTTTTTTATGTGCAAAAGTAAAACGCAGCTGGCGGCTATCACCATCATTTTTTTTTTGAAGGAGGAATATTCTAATATACTACTCAAAGTTTAACAACCAATAAAATAAGGGCGTGGTTGGAAAATGATCTTTTAGCTAGCATAAGCCTACAAGATAAGGATTGTCATCATGTGGTACGGGACAAACCATGGGTTCAATTATGCCATATAAAGAGGCCTTTCCATTATTAATTATTAAAATAAAAAAGATGGTATAAAAAATTCTCCTTTTATTAAAAAATATAAAATATTTTTAATTAAATTTACTCCAATAAAATAATTACTTAATTTAAATTAATTTTTTTATATTTATCTTTATTAAATACCTTACAATAAATATAAATCATTCATCGATATAGACACTTTAAAAAAAAGAGATAATAATTATATTTTAAAAGATTAAAAATACTTTACATTTTTTAATATCAAACTCCAAAAAATGCTTCATATTTTTAAACAGAGGGAGTATATATTTATGGATTTCATATTTTTATTTTAATATTTTCCAATTTTAAAATTATATTGAACAACTTAAGAATAAAAAATCAATTTAAAATAATGAATGACAATTTTTTTCACATAATTTTAATTTTGTTAGTGTTTGAACTTTGAATCACAATCAAGTCTGTTATTAGTCAAATCAACTGCTATTAATTTTTAATCAATAATTTTATAGAGTAATTTAAATTTACAAGTTATATATAGTCTTATTTATAAATTATTTTTAATAAATTTTATTTAAACTAAAGAAAATTTTAAAATTTATCAATTCTTTTTAAAAATTTAATAAGTTTTAATTTTACTCTTAGTAAATATATCAATTCGATTCTTAATATAAGATGAAGTTAACTAACTTTTTTCTTATTAAAAATTTTGGTTATAAATTTTAAATTATAAAAAAATGTTACTTTCAAATTTTACTCTTTTTACAATCAAAATAATTTGTTATTTAGGAATTCAAATAGAAATAAATAAATCAGGTATAAAATTAGAAAAATATTAATTATTCTAACCTTGTATTATTTTAAAGACTAATTAAAAATGACCCTTATTTAATGTATTCTTATTTGTGAAACATTAAATGGAGAGAAAAATATAATAGGGAGGAAAAAGTAATATTGGAACAAATTTAATTAATGAAACCCAATTTTTGTTAATGTGCTTTGCACTTTGGAATATGGAATCACCTCCCAAAATGTTTTATAAATTGAGGTGGATGGAGTACTTTCTCTCACTAACATTTAATAAAGGATAAGAGAATTTTTTTAATATAAAAAGTCAATAATATATCTTATAAATAAGATAAAAAAATCATTCCCTTTCTACTTTATAAATAAGTAAATAACACATGATGAGAAGTTGTGAATTTTTTTTTTTCAAATTATACTTTAAAATTCAAGATGATGTAAATTAATTAAAGGTTTGTAAAATAATAATATGATGGGCGTGTTTTGGGTGCTCGTGCCATATGAATGGAGAATTTAGAACAAAACCAAGTTGCGAGAATTATATTGGGACAAGATAATAGTTGGGAAGCAAGAATCTTCCACATTTCGTTCCACTCACATCAACTTCACTTGCATTATTACTTCCTCAGACGAGGCCCACATCTTAGAAATACTATAGTATTATTTTTTTATTTATATTTCCGCAAAACCGGAAATAATTTTAAGAAAAATTCAATAAATGTAACCTATGAGTAATTCCTGACTTGGTAAATCATCACTTTATAGTTATTGTCAGTTTCTTAATTCAAGATGCCAAGTAAAAATGATGTATGCTAGACGTTCTCTTTATAAAAAAATCAAGGGAGGCACCAATGAGAAGAGTGAATATATAACTTTGAGTTCGATTAAGAGAGGTAGAGGAAGCCTAAGAAACTTTTGAAATTATTGAACGCAATTTCTTAATTAATAATATTCCTAAAAGTTTGATAAATGATAGAGCACAATGGCTTCTTGCAATCTATGTAGCCGACCCTATTAATGGGATAAAGGTTTGTTATTGTTGTGGTTGTTGTAGACGTTCTCTTTAATTTTGATAAATTGAATGAAGTTACGCAGCAAGCGCATAGATAAAAGTATATTTTTTCTACAGCGGAAATACACATATAAAAGTATTTTTATGATTATTTATGACACAAGTTGAGCTCGTAAGTGCTGGATATCCCATTAAAATAATTTTATTATTAGAAATAGAATTATTTTACTCTCTCAATCCCCTTTTGACCATTATTGGCATTTTGTCTTTAAACCCCTCCCCGCCATCTCTGAACCAGGCATACCATATAACAACATTACTTATGAGATCGAAATTCAACTATTCAACATATATCATCTCTCTCTCTCTCTCTCTCTCTCTATATATATATATAGACAACACATCCTTCGATCTTCCTTCCTCTTCATCATATGCAACTTGGCTTCCATTTTTCTGCACAGTTGGCCGTCGTCGTATAACCTGTGAGGTGAGCTTAGTTTGAGTGTATGCATGGGTGAGTATACAGGTGAAGCACATGGACGTGCCGGCGGCGAAGAAGATGATGACCAGAAGCTCTCCTACCGGAATCATCCTTGGCCGGAGGGGCCAGTAAGAGGTGGAAGTGGGGAGATTCCTGGAGCGCCGTCGTGGTTGGAAGGCGGTCGCTGATCACTACGGTGCTGGTGGGACTGTCTGTCTTGGGGGTGTTTCTGCTCAACTCTTCTTCTCCTGCAGATTTCCTCTCCATCTCACAATTACCCAAGGTGACTCTCTCTCCCCGGGAATTCTGGGATTCCTTGTGCATGTTCATGTGATTTAATAAAGGATTTGAATTCCGGGTTTTGGCGTACGTCAATTAAGTAACAGAACCGAAAGAGATTAAAGAGCTAGCAAGAGTAGTGAGATTGAAGTTTGTTGGTTATAGATTGCCTGATGATGAGAAATAAAGAAAAGAAATCTGAATTAGAGAGCGAGAGTGAGGGATTTGAGGCGTTTGTACTCTCTAACGTCCAAAATCTTAGTTTCAACAAAATTTCATCTAATTCTCTCAAAGCTGAGATTTTGAACATTAGAAATAGCAGGATAGCCACCTGAAATCCGAGCGACGAGTAACAGTGGAGGCAACTTGTGGCGTGGCGTGGGGTCGTTGAAAGACGTGTGAGAGAGACAGAGAGAGAGAGATATCTATATATATATATATATATAAAGAGAAGGAATAAAGAGATGAAACGGTTTGACGCGTCATGACGCTGATTCTACGGCCTTTTGCAAGCCTTCTTGTTCTTCTTCTCCCTCCCTCCTTTGCACTTTCATTAACTCGCTTTGTCATCTACCACTGCCATTGTACAAAATTCCCGGAACCCGCTGGAACTGGTAAACCAGTACTTTGACCAGCTTAATTTTTATTTATAATTGGTTTGATTACGGTTAGATTAAATTTTGACTATCAACTCTTAAAACTAGTATTTTAACCAGTTCAATGGTTAACCCAGTTTTAATACCTTCACCACTGCATTAATTATTCATGTCTCCTTGTTCTTATTCTCTCTCTCCCTCTCCCTGTAAACTTTAACAGCGCAAATCGCCTGTTGTTACATGATGATGAGCACTTTCGCATGCCCTCCTTTTTTAAAATACTACACATACATTAATATTATGCATGAATGTCAACTTCACCATAATTTCAGATATTTTCCTGTAATTAAGAATCATCCCCACACACCCCTGTTTGTGTGTATACTTAATTCTTATTCCGAATCTCTTCCACATGCATTAAAATTATACAACTGCATTATTTCTTATTTCTTTGTTTTTTTTTTATTGACCTGCATTATTTATGATGGTAGGAGAACAATGTGACGGAGTCAAAGCTAGAGAGAATTCTGAGAGAAGCTTCTATGGAGGATAAGACAGTGATACTGGCGACCCTGAACGATGCGTGGATTGAACCCGGTTCGATATTCGACCTGTTTCTGGAGAGTTTTCGGATCGGGAACAACACACAGAAGCTGTTGAATCACCTGGTGCTCGTAACTTGGGATCATAAGGCTTATAATCGTTGCTTGGAGGTGCATCCACATTGTCATCAGATGGAGACGAAAGGTGATCAAGGAGATTATGGCGGCGATACGTTCTTCATGACCCCAAAATATCTCCACATGATGTGGCAAAGAACTGAGTTCCTTAGTTCTGTTCTTCAGACTGGTTACAGCTTCGTCTTCACGGTACGTTTTCTTTCCCACGAAAAAAATAATGTTGTCTGAATCTAGCCATCGAGTTTATTATTATTTGCTATTTGGACAGATTTTCAGTTTTCTAGCGAAAATAAACGTAAAATAATTAGTCAACGTGATTCATTATTAAAGTTTTGAAAGTTGTACCAGCCATTGAATTAAATAAGGTATTGATGTAAAGTTCAATGATTTGATCGGGGTAGAATTGTAGTTAAACCAGTTATAATTAAATTAATATATTTTTAATTTTATAAGATAAAAAATTATACAAAAATATAGAAAATCGATTATAATGGAATGTGGTTAATAAATTAAGACTCAAATTATTTTAGAGATATAAACTTAACTCTAAGTTAATATTAAATTATTCCCTTCAAACCATAACCTAGAATGATTTTTAGAAGTGTTAATTTAAAATATAAAACTTTAAGTATTTTTTATACTTACCTTTTAAATTATGTTCTTACTTCATTTATTATTTTTTTAAAAATATGTATTATGATTTTAATTGTTATTATTAAAATATTTATATAGGATATTTAATTGATGAGGATACAATTAGAAATGCACAATTTTTTTTTTTGAGATTAAAGTTTTGCCTAACTTTTTTATAAAACTGTGGGTATTGTTATACGAAAGGAGTAGTTAACAAATTAGGTTAATTTAAAGAAAAAATTAATCTTTTAATCCTTTAATTTTTAACTCACTTATAATTCAGTCCCTTAACTATAACTCGCTGCAACTCAGTCCCTCAACTATAACTTGCTGCGACTCAATCCCTCAACTTTTGATTCACCTATAACTTTATCCTTATTTTTTATTTTTTTAAAAAATTCTTATCAAATAAGAGGAATAAAAAAATACTCATATATTATTTTTAAATATCCTCCTCTTGCTCATTGATGTAAGATATAAGCTCATATGAAAAAAATTAACAAAAGTTAAGGGACTAATTTGTAAGTGATTCAAAAGTTGAGGGATTGAGTTATAAGCGAGTCATAGTTGATGAACTAAGTCACAGCAAGTCATAATTGAGAGACTGAGTTATAAGTGACTTAAAAATTGGAGGACTAAAAGATTAATTTTCCCTACTTTAAATATATATTTTAAACATGATTTGTTTACATTTAAAAATGAACATGTACATCCAAGATGGTGCAAGAGGGTTCTTTTGGCATTGTTTAATAACAAAGAAAACAATAAAGGTAAGGATATGTGATCTTATTAAATGATACGTTATTTTATTGTTGAAGGTATTTTTAAAACCCTTACAATCAATCTTTTTGGAAAGCCACATTACGACTGAATTAAAAAGATAAAAATTAAAAAAAATTGGAGATATATAATTTGAATAACAAAGATTTAAAGCATGTTTTCATAACGAGAAAAAATATTTTAGCGATAAATAGAAAAATAAACAAAGATGTAGGAAAGAAAGAAAATGATGTTAGTACGTGTGGTGGAATAGAAGCAGTGTGCAAGTGGCGAGGATATGTGATTTTTTTCCCCACATCGACTAGGTGTAAAGAATGATGGGTGGGGGCAAATGATTTGATTACGAATAGGGACAGGACAGGAGTTTTACAAAGTTGTGGCCACGAGGTTTTGGTGTTGACATGTAGTCGCCGTTCGAAAATTCATTTCAAACTTTTTTTTTTTTTAAATTTCCTCTTTCCTTAAATTTTATGAGCCGGTTTTTGTCAAAAATGGACCATTTTTTCGATGGTTTGGCCGTGTTTGACTGGTCTAGCCGCTCTTTGATTGGTTTCTTATAATGCTGCTTTTGGTAGGCAACGGGCTAGGGATTGAGTATTGATTAAAGTATTAGTTTGATCTGATTTTTAATACATCAACAACGTAGATAACAACTCTCATATGAGTTTGGGTCTCTTTAAAGTCCATAAAGTTTTGATTTGTTGGTAGGAATTACACTTTAGAGAGAGAATATGAACCTCTAGAAGTGTGTGAACAATACTAAAATTTCTTAAGGAGAAATTGTAAACATATGATAGTGGGCGCCACCTATCATTATGTGTCTATCTTTTTGTCCTGCCCATTGGCATGAGTTCGATCAATCTCTAAAATAAAAAGATATTGAGTGCTTGGAATTTAGACATAATAATTCTTTAAATTATTAAGACTTTCTTGGTATTTCTAACATGTTATTAATGTCTTGCTTGATAATATTGGGTTGGCTTCCCTTCTTATCTTTGTAGCCTTAAAATACATTAATTAATTGAATGCATTAATGATATATCATAGGTGAATATATATCCTTGACATACTCCCTCCGTTCAAATATATAATACATTTTTTTGAGGCACAATGCAAAAATTTAAGGTATAACTAATGATATTTTTTTAAAAATACCCTTAATTAGGAGGTGGGATTAATAATGTTTTCTAATATTGGCAAAACAAAATGATATTTTCTAATGAAAACAATTACTTATTAAATAGAAGTAAATATAAAAAGAATATAAAATTTTAAAGATAATTAACTGATTCATAAATGTGTAATTCAATTAAAAATATCTTATAATATTAAATGGAGGATACATTGATCCATCAATTCGAAATCTTTTTATGTATACTGAACTTATCTTTAGTTAATTCATAAACTACTTCCCATGCAGGACTTAGATATAATGTGGCTTCGAGACCCATTTGAGAGGTTTTTCAAAGACGTAGACTTTCAAATTGCTTGTGATCACTTTAATGGAAACTCTACAAACGTAAAAAATTGGCCAAATGGAGGGTTCTTGTACGTAAGATCAAATCCTAAGACTATAGATTTCTATAAGTTGTGGATTGAGTCAAGAACAATTGACCCAAAACTAAATGAACAAGATGTGCTTAACAAGATCAAGACTCACCCCTTTGTGTCTCAAAGGAAGATGACGATTAGGTTCCTTGACACAGCTTATTTTGGAGGGTTTTGTCAAGTAAGTAGGGATTTCAACAAAGTTTGTACCATGCATGCCAATTGTTGTGTGGGTTTGGACAACAAGATCTTTGATCTTAAGATTTTGCTTCAAGACTGGCGACGCTACATGGCTTTGAATCTAGATCAGAAATTACATTTACACCCTTCTTGGAGGGTTCCAAACCGGTGCAGGTAATAATTAGCTTGTTTGAATCTATTTTTTATTCTTATGTTCTTAAAATAATTCCATAGAGTAGTTTATATATATATATATATATATAGAATAAAAAAAATTTGTTTGAATTAAAATTGGTGAAGTAGGGGATAAAAAATGGTTTGCTTTATCAACATAATTACCACTAATGGAAACATGGTGTTCTTCACAATTCTTTGATTTTGTAGAATAAAAGGTAATACAGAATAAAAAAAATGTTTTGGTTTTTTGTTTTTTCCAGAACAAATTTTATTTTATTTTTCACACCAAAAATATTGTCAAACGTAATAGGCCCAATGTCTCCATTGGATTTTAGATTTTTTTTTTTTAGAAATTAAACGTTTCTCTTTAGATCCATGGACCATTAAGTGACCTTAGTTGTGAGGCCCACTTTAATTTCCCTATAAAGTATTTTTTTTATTTTTTCCCTGGCCTAATTCTATAGTGACCTTAAGAGAATCTATAAATAAAAATGGTCCTTGCTTGTCTGGGAATTTTTCTCAATTTTAGAAGAGTCAAATATAAAATATTTGGAGGCGAATTCTCTCAATGTTAACGTGCAATCATGATTAATGTGCAATAAGTTTGTTTTATTTTGGGAGGCGAATTCTCTCAATGTTAATTCATTATAAATATAGCCTCCAAAATGTTCCTCTATTTTTGACATCACTTTTTTTTTCCTTTTATTTTGCAAATTATTGATATGTATGAAGAACGTCATTCAAACGAGCCGCACAAAAGAGGAATAAAGAGAACAATGAGAAATCGCCGCCATCGAAGACGTACAAACATAATTGAAGAAGCTTATAATTGGATAAAGAGGTTTGTTTTAACTGGTGAAATCAAAATTTACATTTACACACCATTTTATATATTATATTTAACATGCCGGTCTTTAGACATGTTAGAGTTGTTTTAATTAATTATTAATTAAGTTGGTTCGTTGAAAGCCTACTAACACATGCACCATTAATTGGTTTTTGTAGAGTGATTGAAGCCTATTTATCAGAGTTTATGATCGTGGCAAGCCAATTGCTAGTCAAGTTCATATTGAAAATGAAGGAATATAGAAAAGCAAATGTTAATTATACATTCAAGTTCTTGAGACAAAGTTGAAGCAACCTATGAATTTCAATACTCATAGTTAACATGTAGTCCTAAAATTTTAATTCTTTTATATCTTTTTTTAATCTTTATTGTTGTATAGTTATAAGTGCTTCTTCTTTCTTTCTTTCTTTCTTTTTTAATTTGAAAAAAAAGCACAAAGTTGTAAGATGATGAATCTTCCATTATATGATCAATGATGTTTAAGCATTATTCTGCACTGCATATTTCTTTTTTCCTGATCTTTCATTTTGTCCTTGATCCCCCGCCAATCATAAGACTGTCAATTAAAAAAATAAAATAAGGACAGTTGTATCAAAATAGTAAAACAAATTAAAAATGCCACTTTAAATTTTTTAGCAGTGTCATCTCCCGTTCTGAACTTGCCAAAATGATTTTTTGGGCCCTATTTTTTATTTTTTTTCAAGTCTTAATAGTGTTCGATGCTTTCAAATGGCTTTGAACTCTGATATTTGTGGATTTCTTTTCTTGATTGGTTTTTAAGTGTATTTATTTAAACTTGGGATCCTGATTTTTAAAAGTTTTAGATTTTATAAACTTACTTTCAAATTAAGTCTATTCCTTTTCTATTATTTTTATGCTTTTTAAACCAAGATTAATATTTTTTACCATGGTAAGGATTACTTGACATCTTTAATTTTAATTATCATGATAGAGTTGCATTAGAGTGTGGTAAAATAAGGAAACATTATAATTTAAAATGATCAAAATATTCTTAATAAATGGCAGAAAAGTTAGTGAAAATTTTTCATAGAGTAAAATAAATTGGCCTCCATTCTAGTTTACTTTAATAACATATCCCTTCTTCTATGTTTTTATAACATACACAAATACCCTTAAAATGAATATTTTCAAAACAAACAGTCATTTTATTTTTAAAATTTTATTTTCATCCATTTAATCGTTTAGTTGGCTATTAAGTATATATATATATATATATATATATATAAAGACTAAAATACCATCTTTCAATATAGATTTTATCTAAAAATCATTGAACATATCCAAAAAATAAATTAATGTATATATTTTGAACTTTTTAATTCATATCTTAAACTTTTTAGTTTTGTAAACTTATTTATTTAATAATTTTAAAAAATATAAATAACATAAGTCGTCTAAAATAATATTTCAATATATTGAAATTTTTGTTGGAAGAGATGCACACATTTAATGCTCAATCATACATTGAATGAGATTATCTTTAATGAAAAAATACATGTGAATAGTTAAAAAATGATACTTTGGATATTAGAAAAAGATCCAGAAGGCCATAATTACCTTGTGGAAGAAGATTTTCCCTTGGCGATAGGGAAGAAGTAGAAAGGAAGAACCCTGTCCTATCATCGTAATCATGCAAAATGTTACTACTAGTAGTCGTATTTACCCAAAAAGATAAACCAGATAAATATGTTACTGTAATCATCATAAGAACTACTGGTAAATCAAGCCATAGAGGAATAGACTGCTAAGTCCAGTGTGGCACCGGCCCAGGCCCATTAGAAGGCCCAGAATGTAGACCAAAGTCTGGTTTATAAACCCCACCCACGTAAATACAGAGGACCCTAAATAATTGTAGACGCATACCTCCGTGTAACACGATGGTGAAAAGACTTCGACCCAAAGAAGGAACAAATTTCAACGATTGCAGTGTGGGTGGAACTCCTGATATCAACATGTTCTATTTTCAGATGATTATGCATTTACGTGTATCAATAAATTTCGTGTTCAATATTTAATTTTGGACTTATTTTTAAATTAAATTTTATACAATTGGTTGAGAAATGTATGTTTAGTTTTCCTCTCTCCACATTCGTACATCACCTATTCACTTAGATAAACAATATATCATACATGTACACTTTTACTTGAATAATATTATAACGTTTTTGACACAAAAATAAGAAATATTATAAATTAAAACTTCACATGGAAAATTTAAACCCCCCTAATTGATCTCATTTTCTTATTATAGTTTTCAATAATATGTCATGATGTTGTGTTTTCATTTCTATACAAATTAATAATTATTAAGCCATGTGAATGGCTTTGCAAAGATTTGGTTATTGAAAGTTTATGACTTTTAATGCTAGGTTTTTTGTTTCTTTCACTCATCATGAAGACAATAAGGTAGCTGATCACCTAGTGGCTAGTGCTAATAAGGATGTGAACCCGATAGGGTAGGTGGAGACACCATTACTTCTTTTATCTCATATTCTAATAGTGGATGTTATGGAGGCTTCCCTTGCTTCAAACCTACCTCAAAGGATAGATTATTTGAGATCAGGAATTGGCTAAGTTGTGATCACTTGAGTTTTAGTTATTGTTTTGATGTCTTTTATTTTCTTTTGTTGTCCTGGTTTTCTTGTTATTCTTATCTTCATATGCTATTGCTCCTTCAAGTTTGAATGAAATATCCATTAGTGACAAAAAAATCATGTTCAAAACAACTTTTTTTTAGCCTAATATCTTCAGAACGACATGATATTCAAATATGATTAGAATATATATCATCGTAGCAACTTCTTAAAGCACCTAGTTTTATAGGGTATCATATTGTTTTCTATAAACAACAAAAGTACCACACGTGCTAAAGATGTTGAGTTTCAAAAGATAGCAAAAGGTCCTCGGGAAATGTTATTAGAACTGGATCGGCTATTGAACTAGTCAAGGCACCAGTTCATAGTTCAAAGGTCAAACTGGGGTTAGATCGAGGTTGGATCATTTACAATCAAATTAATATCTTTTAAATATTTATATTAAAAATTATAGTTAAATTGATAAATTAAAAAAATTGAAAATTGAAAATGTGCAAGACGAGTGTCAATGCATGTTTATGTGTATATTAGACACACATCTTGGTCAAATTTTTCAAATGTTTTCCAAAAATCAACGTAGGCTAAAAAAACAAATAAAATCCAAAAAGAGGAAAAAAGTAAATGTGATAAAAAGAAGTATAATAATTAAATTAATAAGGGAGAATTCTCATCCATCTATAAATGATAAACCTATCAACTCACACCCTATTTCCTTCTTATTATTAAATATTTCTTGCATTTTTCATCAGGGCAAAGGAAGAAAGTTGAATGTCAAGTGGAACACAGCTGGAGCTTGAAGACAGTCAAGAACATGAGCAGTTGAGCATGACAGTGAGTCTCTGAAAGTGTGATGACACTGATGAGGAATAGAGGAGTGTGATTAGATTGAGGAAGATGATTGAGGGTCGAACTTGAATAAGAAGAGGCTTAAGGTTTTGATTTAGCTGAAAGAGTTTTAGGTTTTAAATTTAGGATATATGCGTTTCCCTTTTGCATCTTGGTCTCCTAGTGTTTAAAAAAAGAGAGGCAAAAATGATGTCATTTTGTGATATTAGGGGAGGGAAGAGAGAATCATTTAGACCATTTGAATCGTTAGTTTTCCTAATTCTATTTGGTTCACCTTTAGTTTAGATGGTTTGCTGGCGGTTCTTTTACCCCCCCAATTTTGTGTCACTTTTGGACTAGTTACTTGGCTGGTTCTCGGTAAAATTGATCAAACTGGCCAATTTGGTCTGGTTCTCATAATAGTGTCCTCAGGCTCCTTTACCACAGTTTATCCAGCTTTGAAGATGCAAAGAGATTGGAATAATGAGTGCTTGATTAATAAATGTGCCAAATACAGAATTATAAAGGTTACAAAACTAAACATGATTCTATAATTGTCTGAAAATATAAAGTGAAATGCTAAAAAGCATTAATGAATGTCAAGGATTGATTATCGTTGATGTCTCTGTTTTTGTGACCTTCTTCTCTTTTTAAAAATAATTCAATTGAGACTGTTAGCCCCATAAAATCTAAAGCTTGTTATATGAGATATTAGGGATTTACTAACACAGCCCATGAGATTCATGACATGCCCCCTTAACGGTCTCATGCATGTGATCATCCCGAGCCTTGAGGGCTACATTAGGCATGACACGTCCTCCTTTCCTATTGACCGAGCTATGTTTTGTAGCTAGTTGTGTCTTTTATCTTGGTTTCTCTCATTGGGTTTTTGTTTCAACTTTATGCCCAAACAATGTCCCCACATGCGAGCGGTCAATTATCATAGGCCACGTGGCACATTTGAATTAGAATCGAGTGTCATTTCGTTCCCTTGAGCCTCTTGAGACTATAAACTTTCTTGTCCACATCTATCTTTTTTTTTTGCTACACTATGCTTTCAAACTTCTTTTCCCTTCAAGCATCTTTGCTTTGTCTTCCTCTCATTGATCTTTCTATTTCCTTTTCCTTTCCTTCAGGTTGTTTCTTTTTTGAAATAGGCCTCTTTTCCTTAAAAAGAATCTCTAACCTCTCCTAAGCTCCTCGCCTCCCTTTGATTTTAGTAAGTGTTTCCTTCCTTTGTTCTCTTTGTTCTTCTCATTCTTTAAATTTCTAAGAATTTTTCATATTTTCCTATAGTGCTCCTCCATATAGCTTTATCCTGGCTGTCGTGACTAACACCAACCATCTATTTATACCCCTAGAAGAATTAGAGCCATCAAGCCCCATAATCCTTAATCCTTGGCCACTATCTTCTATAAAGGAGTTGTTGTTAGTCTTGGAGACTGTCTCTTTCAAAGAGACTTCTTGCAAAAAGTTGCACAACTGGCCCCAATCTTTATCTTTCTAAGCTGCATGGCTAGAATGTCATCTTCCTATGTACAAGGATCATTAGAAGGAGGTGGGTTTGTATGACCTGACTCAACTATTTTAAGTCATGTTGATGCTCCTATCTAGCTTCTCGAGTCTCTCCTTTATTTTTGGTCCTAATAGTGTAATGCCTTTATTTTTGAATTATGCCTATGACTAGAATCTTATTGGACGTGTTTATGTTTTTGGGGCCTCTTATTATAATTAAGGAATATTTTTATGAAATTCCTACTAATGATATGGCCTACGCATCTTTAAGCCCTCAAGTCAAAGCGAGGGTGAAGAATTCTAGTTCGTATACTTCTCTCATTGTTGAGTATGCGAATCACCCTTCTACTTAGGCTGTCACTGATGAAGAGCACCTAGTCTTTTTATGGGTGCTACTAAGTCAGTAGATTTTTCCCTTAGTAGAGGCAAGCCTAAGACTTAGCACCTCCCTTTGATCAAATATTTCCATTGTAAGAGATAAGGAGCCTTAGGCACAATGTTTCTTTGCCTTTTGTATGATGGGATGAGGGAATA